GGGGGGGTTATTGATTTATTATCTCCCTATTGCATCACCTTCTATTGTAACTATCAAAGGGACACAGACAGAAAACGGCTTTTATATTTTTTGCTTTTCCTTTTAGTCTGCCATGTACTTTCAGCGCATTGTTATGCTGTGTTTCAATTTTATTCTATTAAGGACTTTAAAAATATGCCTTCCTGTTTAATATGCAAGAAGAGATAACAATTTGTAGGTATTTCTTCATTTTGGGGCTTGACATTTGAGGTAGATAATACAGAATAGGCTATCTGATCTTGATAATAATCTTGAAAAATAGGTCCACAATGCAGGGAAAATGAATAAGCTAAAGAATGTATATTTGATCATCCCTGTATACATTTAAATTAATGTTTATAATGTTGTCTAAGCTTAGTAGCCAAACCTCAGTGTGTCCCATGTTCCTAAATTCTAAAGCTAACATGTCAAAAAAAAATAAAAGTATCTATTATTCCTGAATTCTTGGGCAGTTTTTTCTCTTTGGTGTATGTGATTTGGGCAGAATTAAAAGATACCACCTTGTTCCATCTGTTCTGATTTTTTCCAATTATAGGTTTAGATCAGAGGATACTGTTCCATAATTGGAGATGTACTGAAACACTAGTTCACTAGAAAGAGAAAGTTCACAACACCTTATGTATACAGCACCGCCTTAGGGATTATGTCAAAGATTTATGCAGAGGGTATTGAAATACTGTCAGCTGATATTTAAGGCTCTTCTAGGGAGTAAGAGGATGTGAAATGAGTAGGAAAACAATTACCCCTCAGGGGTAAAGCCTTTTGAAAATAAAGATATGCATCAGTTTAGAAATTTCAGTGAAGTTCTTGAATTAACATATACGGATGAAAGTCTTTCAAACCTGAACAGGTTGTAGGATGCTATACACTGAAGGTAAAGAGCTAGGCGGAGATTCAGATTTGGTTATGAGCCTGCCAGGCAGACATGGATGGCTTCTTTTAACCCATCTTGATTTCCCTTCCATCCTTGAGAATGGTAACAGGTGAGGGTGTTTTTTGTTTTTGTTTTTTTTTTTTCTCATACTGTGATTTTTCCATGCATATTCTGTATATAGCGGTCCATTTGTCTTAAAGTACAACCAGCAATGAATCCATAAAGGTTGCAAGTTTGGAGTTCAAGAGGAACTCCAAAGAGCAAGAAAATTATACTTAGATGAAATGATCAAAGAAACAGCTCAAGAAAGAAATCAACTGCTTCCAAACTCTCGAATCCAATATTATTTATTAATTTTCATTTATGCTTTAATTTCATGTTCAATTCAGCCAGATATGCACACTTAAGAAAAAATAATTTTATTTCCTCCCCTGTGCATATGCCAGCCCAGTAGAGCAGAGAACAGAACATTTAGTTTCTCTTTAATATCTGCTGATAATCTACGTTGACACTTTGAAAATGTATATATTCACATACATCAAAATGTTAAATTCCCATATAACAGATATAAATTTGTTTATACTAAATGTGTCAAAGTTAATGTCATTGGTATTTATAAAATATGCTTATAAATTATAATATATTGTACATCTCTCAAAATAGGAAAGTATATAATTTGTACCAATGTATGATCCTTATAACAAAGTATACCTAAATTATATCAATAATTTTTAAACTAAGAATTATTGGCTAAAACAGTCACATGATCTTTCTTTTTTGGTGTTACAATGTCTTGACTAAACACGCAGCTTCCCACATCACACTTAACACACTCCAAACGAAACGTAGGGCTGTAGCCAAATTTTAAAAATTTAATGGCTCATCAGTTAAGAACACAGGATATGGGGGCACCTTAAGTGGGAAAACCATGATGAAGGGGTGAGACAATGGGAGAGAAAAATAATGCAGCTAACAACTGTCCGTAACTCCAGTTCCAGGGGATCCTACAGCCTCTTCTGTCCTCTGCAGGCATTGCACGACACGGGTGCACTTACCTACATGCAGGCAATACATGCATACACATAAAATAAAAATAATAAATTAAAAAATTTAAAAAATTTGAATGAAAAACAAAAAGAGATGGCTATTTTATTATTTAATAAAGTAGAGAATAGCTGACCATGATGGCACATGCCTGTTATACCAGCACCCAGGAGGCAGAGACAGGAAATTACAGACTCAAGTCCACCATTCCCTTCCTAGAGAATTCCAGGCCAGGAAGATTGTGTCTCAAAACAAAGCCAAAACATACATAATTAATAATTTTTCGCCACGTCCTTACCACCATGAAGAGGCTATTATAAAAACAAAGTAGAACTGTGGTCACCGTTTTTTGTTTTTTGTTTTTTCCATTGTAGTCATTACTGTTCTGTCTTCCACCAAGGATCATTTCTTTGAATAGATTCTCACTTTCTTGCACTAAGGATCTAACTCAGAACCTGCTTCTAGCTTTAAAAAAGAAATGTAAATTTTGTTGAAGTTAACTCGACCTATGGAATTTCAGCTTTGTTGGGGCTGTGAGACATAGATGCTCTTGTTGGGAAAGTGACTGAGCCACTGGGATGTGCATGCTTCTGTGTAGTCCAGATGTCTAGGGGC